ATAATGAATTGCATAAATCAAGAGTGTGTAGAGAGATAAAGTGTGGAGAGAGAAAGTAAGAGGGAGAGAGAAAGGGAGAAAGAAAGAAAAGTCGTCCGTGTCAAAGACGCCCCTAAACTCACTTCACAAAAGCGTATTTATACTAAACTAATAAACTAAATCAAAGAAAAAGTCAAAACAAAATAAAAATCCTAACGTAAACACGCGCCCGGTCGGGCGAGGCATCGCCCGGCCGGGCACGCCTTTTTCACACTTAAAGCCTTGCTCGCGCCCGGTCGGGCGTGCATCCGGGCGAACCTTCGCCCTATGGTCTTCTCCTCTCGCCCGGCCGGGCACGCCTCAAGGCGAGGGCACTGCCCGGTCGGGCGGATGCTTGGGCAGGCCTTTTCTTCTTCTTTTCAATTGGGCTTCACACTTCTTGGCCCAAAACTAAACTTCTTCATAGGTCCAACTTGCCCGAGCTCCTATTCACTTCATCGAGCCCTTAATCACCGAATTGATTCCTCAAATACGGTCCTGGGCTTCGGAATACGATCATAGAAATGCGTCTCATCTCCAATGCTCGCGGTGGCTCCACTAAGTGCCGGAAAATGTTCCAAATCTGCAGTTTCCTGTAGAATAATTGCACAACTACGAAAACACTAGAAAACGCATATTAGTAATAAAATTGGCTCTAAAGAGCCAAAAATACTCCTAACTATGATCACGGGACGGGGATAAAATACTATATATAATGAATACATCACTTGACACATGTCAAGTCCTGATTGGTCCAAAAATTTTAAAAAAATAAATAAAAAAACAAAAAAAAAACAAAAATCACAAAAACCAGCCAGCCACCTCCATCCCACCGCAGCCCCACCACCTCCTCCTTAGCCCCCACTGGAATCCACCATCTCCCTCCCCAATCCCACCGAAAACCACCAAATTCCCCCGAAATCACTTGCAGCTTCACTCCCTTCCCCCAAAACCACCCGCAGCCTCATTCTCTTCCCCCAAAACCACTCACAGCCCCCACCTTCTTCTCTTGAAACCACCATTTTCACCCCTAACTTCTCCCGAAACCATTGAAACTCCAGCCCCCTTCGCCAGAACCCATTTCCCTCGGAACACTCGAATCCACCAAAACCACCAACGATTAGTGGATCTAGGCGGAAAAGAAGATAAGGAGGGAGGTTGGGGTGGTTTTGCGAGCGGGCAAGCAAGTGGGAGGGTGGTGGTTTCGCGGATGGTAAGGGGTTGGTTTGAGGCGATTTCGGGGGTGGGGGGAAGGGAAGGGGTAGTTTCGGGGGTGGGGCTAGGGAAGGTGGTTGTTTTCGTCGGAGTGGAAGGGGAAAGGGGAGGTTTCTGGCGAGGTGGCGGCGGATTCCGGCTGGGCTAGGGGGATTGGGTGGTTGGTAGGGAGGAGAGTTTTTTTTTTCTTCAGTTTTTTAATTTTTAATTTTATTTTTTTTGTTTTTTCTTAGTTTATTTTATTTTATTTATTTATTTTAATTTTTTGAAGCAATTAACATGTGACACGTGTCAAATAATTTTTTTTAAATTTTTTTTTAACCCTTTCATCAGGTTATCGGTTTTTTGGATTGAAGAATGATAGACCACCTTAAAGTTGGGATTATTGAGGAATAAATTGGTCAAAGTTGGGATTAAAAAATGGTATTAATCCTAATTATAATTATCATAATAACAATAATAAAAATTATTATTATTAGTATTTATATTTTCTTGGATTAATACAGTTTTTTAATCCCAACTTTGCCCAATTTACTTTCATTAATCCCAACTTTTGATTATTCTGCAATAATCCCAACTTTAGGGTGCCTTTTCTTTCTTCAATCCCAAAGACCGGCAACCCGCTGAAAAGGTTAATTTTGTTTTAATTTTTCCAATATGCCATGTGTTGAACATTTATTGGTCCAAAAAATGAAAACCAAAAAAATAAAAAAATTCAACAAATCACCCCCTCCCTTTACTAGCCCCACCGTGAACCTCCCCCATCTCCTCCTCCTCACTCCCCAGCCCAACCGAAAACCACCACCTTCACCTAAAACTAGCCTGACCTGCGAACCCGCCCCCACCCTCACACCGGAATTCCTACCCCACTCTGAAACCCACCGAGCCACCTCTATAACCACACCCCACCCAGCCACCTCTGAAACTACACCCCACCATGAAATCTCACCTAGCCACCCCTAAAACACCACCCTTACACCGAAAACCCCACTACCACTTCGAAACACAAACGCTGCCGTAAAACCACACCCAGCCACACTAAAGCCCGCGTTGGATCGAAACCATACCCCCTAAAACCAGACCAGCCACATCGAAACCCGTGCTAGATCGAAACCCCATTCAACCCCTAAACCCATTGAAACCCAGGCTAACTAAAAGGGAAAGAGGTGGGGGTGTTGTTCGGCGAAGAAAGGGTGGGGGTAGCTTTGGTCCGCTGGGGTGGGGCTACTCCGGTATGAAAAGGGCTAAGCAGGGGAAGGGGGTTGATTTGGGGGTCGGGAAAGGGAGAAGGGGAATGTGGATTGGAGGTGTCCGTTTAGGAGTGGTTTCAGTCCAGCAGTGGTGGCGATGTGGGACGCCATTTAGGGAAGGGTGGCGCAAGGGTAGGGAATGGGTGGTCGTTCAGGGGGAGGGGGCCGAGCTGGGGTTTGGAGATTTTTTAACTTTTTTTTTTGTTTTTTTTAATTTATTTTTGGACCACTCACATATCGACACGTGTCTAGTAACCTACAATAATAGGTTGTTGACTTTTGTTGACCGGTTTGGGTATGAAGAAAGATAGACCACCTTAAAGTTGGGATTATTGAGGAATAATCCAAAGTTGGGATTAATGAAAATAAATTGGTGAAAGTTAGGGATTGAAAAACAATATTAATCCTATTTTTTTTAAATGTTAGATACAAAAAGAGATAAAAAATACTACCTATTATTCTTTTTTTACGTTTGTTATTATTTTCTGTTTTTGTAAGTTGCACTATATTCACTTGGTCTACTTCGACCAATGTTTATGAATTATACATAAAAAAAAATATAATTAAGATATTGCTTATCAAAGTCCTATGTCGACATAGGGCTAAATTTCAATGGGACACTAAAATAATAGAGGGAGTATAATTTTGTGAAAAGAAGAGTGCGTCGGTAAAAAAAATAATAAAATAAATAAAAAGTAATTATTTTTTTAACACGTAAAATCAATGGATTATATTATTGGTTTAATTGGACCATTTGTAATACATGGCTGGTAAATGGGATACGAAGGCTTTGTAAACCCCGTAAAGTTTTAAGACCTAGCTAACATTGATCTGAATTTACTTCAAGATTTTTCCTTGTATTGTACAGTTTTTGTTGTGGCCTAATTTTAGTAGTTTTTGACTTCTTTAATTTCATTAACAAAATCACAAACATACACAAAAATATTACAACCGAATATGAAGAATACCTGATTCAAAAGCTTTAATGGTAAATCAATGGTAGACTAAAAAAAATTAATGATACATGGCCATATTTATAATTATAATTACGTGGTTATTTGTATAGGAGTAAAATTCTATTATTGTTACTTGGATATTCATATTAATTATAATATGTGGTGTGTTGGTATAAGTAAAATTCTATTGTCAATAAAAAAATAAATTTTTTTCAAAAGAATTATAAATTATTTTATGTATACTTTTTTTTTATCCTAAACAAATCTATCTAATATAATCTGGCATCTAATCTAATGTGCCATGTTGTTATAAGTAAAATTCCATTGTCAATAAAAAGATTAAGTTTTTTCAAAAGAATTATAAATTATTTTATGTATACTGTTTTTTATCCTAAGCAAAAACTATCCAATCTAATCTAACGTGGCATCTAATCTAATCACAATTTATCTATTTATTGCCTGCGTGGCTCGACACTTGGCGAAAAACTGGAATGCCAAGTGTCGCTGTCTCGTGACCTGGCTGCGAGACCGGCTTTATTTATTAGTGATATGATTGGCAAAAAACTGGAATGCCAAGTGTCACTGTCTTGTGACCTAGCTGCGAGACCGGCTTTATTAATTAGTGATATGATATGATTTTGTGTCGGTCAGTGTATAACATATAAACAAATAAAAATTACGTACATACATGTTTAGAGAGCCACGAGGGCGAGGGTAAAAATCGATTTCATGATCTCTCGGAATTGGAAGGAAAGCTCTAACCACGAGCTATCCCTTACTCTCACTAAGCAGCAATATATCATTACACAATACTCATTAGAGTCCTGTGCATATTTACAATACTCATTAGATTAGTGTGCATATTTTCACAATTAGTACGGAGGGCATTATATATTTATTGGTTGCATATATAATTTTTTCAACTTGAAATTTTGCACAATTTTCATTTAATATTGTAATAAAGTACTTCATTTAATACTCATTAGAGCCTGCTCTTGCGGGCATTGATGCTATAATTACTGAGGATATGAATGTGAAGATGTGTGAAAAACGAACTAGTGACGAGATTAAATTTGCTCTTTTCCAGATGCATTCAAACAAGGCCTCTGGGCCCGATGGTTGCACGCTATATTCTATTAGAAATTTTGGCATATTATAGGGTATGATATTTGTTGCTTTGTGAAGAGTTGGTGGCGGGGCGAATTGTCGTTGGATGAGATTAACAAGACTTGTGTGGTTCTAATTCTGAAATGTGAAGACCCTAAACGTGTTTCAGAATTTAGACCCATAAATTATTGTAATGTGGTATATAAAATTATCTCGAAAGTACTCTCTAATAAAATGAAACCTTTCCTTGATAAAATCATCACCATTAACCAAAGTGCTTTTATCCCGAAAAGGTTAATTACTGATAATGCCTTAATTGCTTTTGAGATTTTTCATGCCATGAAGAGAGGTGGGGACTGAGGAGGGTAAGGATGAGACTATAGCTCTGAAACTAGATATGAGCAAGGCTTATGACGGAGTTGAATGGGGCTTTCTAGAAAGAGATATGTTTAAAATGGGGTTCTGTGATGGTTGGGTTCAGAGGATTCTGGACTATCTCTCAAGTGTCTCGTTTGCTTTTAAAATAAATGGGAAAATTTCTAGTTCTGTTGTTCTTTCCAGGGGACTTCGACAGGGTGATCTAATATCCCCTTATTTATTTCTCATTGTTGCAGGTGCGTTCTCATCTATGTTATCGAAAGCTGCAAATGATAGATTGATCCACAGGGCAAGAGTTTGCAGGGAAGATCGCAAGGTTTCTCATTTATTTTTTGCCGATGACAACCTACTTTTTGCTAAGGCTACTGTTAGTGAGTGCTCGGTGATAACTAACATTATCAACAAGTATGAGAGTAATAAGTCCCTTGGCATGAAGTCGATCAAAAGGGGTGTCGTAGCTCATCTTAATAGGGGTGAACTCTCTTCTAAATTGCTTTCTTTGCCCTTGATTATTCAGGCTAGGACATCATTTAGATTAAAGGTACTAACATTGTTACTAGAGTGAGTGTTTTTGGAAGAAGAAGGATTGTCGTTCTTCTTTCCTTTCCAGCCACTGTTGTTACTATTGTTAGCAGCTTTCTATTATGCAAGATTGTCCTCAATTTCAATGCCTATGTTATAGACAGCTTTAAAAGTGTTTAAATCGCATTGATAATTAATAGGTTCTTTTGGTATTCCTTCTCACTTGGAACTTCAATCTTCCTAGCGGAAGTTTCCTTCCACCTATTGTAAAAAGAAGATCTTCATTCTCTTTTTGTTTAAGAATTTCAAGTTCCCTATGATCAGTTTCTACTTGAATATTACATTTGTGTCTATCAATGAAAGCATGTGTAATAGAATCCCAAGTGCGATCTTCTCAGTGCCTATGGAAAAGAACCATTGTTGACCTACTGGTTCAAGAGAAAGCGGGAAAAGCGAGGGGAAAACTTTCTTATCAATCCCCTTGATCTCCATGATTGTCTCAAAGGCCCTCAAGTGGAAGTAAGGGTTGTCAGTAGCTTTAAATTTAGGAATGTCATTGGCAGAGAAAATCTGCGGAAGAAGTTCCTTATCCACTGAGACTCCCTTAGAGCTTATTCCAAAGTACTTGTAGTCATTGGAGATTTGACTCAAGCTATCCTCCATGCGCTTGATGGTTTCAATGCTTACTTGCTTGTTAGGATCTTTGACTTGAGTGGTGAGTCCCTTGAGCATTTCAGCAAGTTCATTCACAGTTTCTTGAAGTTTCTCGAAATCTTCTTGACTGGCCAATATTACGAACTTTCTTCTTTGTCGAATCGGTTTATCAAAGAGTAGTAATTGAATGAAAGTGTTGTCCTTGATTAAACACCCTTCTCTCCTTGACTAAGTGTTGTAAAATTAAACCATTGACTCTTTTAATGACTTGACTCAAATTGACTCGTATTTTTATTGGGTAGGAAAAGTAAAAAAACGGGTGCATACTTTGGGAATCAAATTATGGGGATCAAATCAAGTTTTTAAGCAACATGGTTTATGTTGGGAGGATAATATCCGACTTACCCCCCTATAAAAATGACGGAAAAACGTACACAAGACTCTAGACATGGTCATGGTGAAAAGATAAAGTGTGTACTTTGACTCGTGAGTGAAAGTGACATGTTCAAGACTCGTGTGATGACCATGGGACTAAATATGTGATTAGACTCAAGCAAATACAAAGTTAAGATCTTGTTTGTACATTAAATCGGTTAATTATGGAAATTAGAATCGATATGAAGACTCGGAAAGGAAAAAACTGAACCATCGCATGGCGATGGCACTGTCGCGGAACGTTAGTTCTGTCGCGGCGCAACAAGGTTGCCGCGACGCGATAAACCTGGCGTTCTGCGGCACAAACCAAATTTTCGCACCAAATAGTGGAACGTCAATCTAATTTGTTTTCGATGGTCCTTTCAAAGGTTTAAGTCTATAGTCTTACTAAGTCAAGTACGTTTAGACTTCATAAGTTCAAATTAATTAACCAATTAATTAAGCAAAGTCCTTTTTTAGTCCTTGGTTAGTTCGTTAAGACTTTATTTACAAACAAAACGAGTCAACAAAAAGGGTTAGTTTAATCACAAGTAAGGTATGCACAAGTAATAGATGCACAAGTAGTCAAATAGTCACAATATGATGTAATGAGTTTGCAACCTAACCATGGCTCTAGTTCTCTAAAGGTCAAGAATTATGGTGTCCAAGAGGGTCCATGGTTATGAGTCCGGATGCATCGTGCGGAAGCCTTACCTTTGGAAGGGTTGGCACGATGGATGGGACCCCGTAAGTTAGACTTGCTTCCATGGTTTGGTGAATTCACAAACTAGGATGCACCCATTGTTGCACGGAGCGTTCATTAAGGTGGATGGAGCGTGAATTCCCAGGGGCTAAGACCATATGTAGAACACATATGGGTTCAGAAAAGTCGGAAAAACTCAATCAGGAAGTAGAATCGTCGAGCAGTATTAGAATTGGTTAAAATAAGAGGACGGACTCCTGGCGCATTGTCGCGAGAACTTGGCGAGGGAAAACAGAGGTTGTCGCACAGCGACAACTCTATCGCGTCGTGATAAAGTTGTCGTTTGGTGACAAACTCTGTCGTCTCGCGACAGTTCCAACGCGTCGCGATAGTTTTCTATGTTCTACGTTTTTTCCGATTTTCGTAGTATCTTTTCGGTTCTAGTTGTGAAAGATATTTTTAGCTTTTCCTACGTGTAAAAATCCTATGTTTTTGACCATTACGGATGGTCTTTTCAATGCGGACCTTTTTATGCTTATGCCACAATGTTAACCAAAATTACACACATGAATATCTAGAATCTTTCAAATCTCATCCACTCATTCTAAATCAATTGCCAAAATAAATTTTAGGAATCAAAATCAGAAATCCTCCCAAGCGGAGTCGCAAAAAAACTCTAGGGAATTTTTCAAACTTAACTTTGAGCCCTACTGTGATCATGGTACGAATCCAACCTAAAAGAGATTGAACCCGCCCTAAATCGACCTCTACTTAATTCTTATGATATTCATGTGCGTTTTGTGATAAACATACATACAACAAGTTAGCCCTGAACCTGTTTAATTTATGTTGGCTGATTATTAATGCACAAATAAATCTATTATTAGTGATCACTTATATTAAAATCATATTTTCCTAAAACAAATTATCAATTATCTTATTAGGCGTGATTTCAAGTACAAATTCCCTTTAAATCTGCAAGAAGGGGCGTGGTCAAGTAATGACAATATGTCATGAATATCAAGAAACATATAATTATTGACACAACAATCATTATCATAATCAAAACATCACAATCAATATGATCATAATCTCATCAAAACATGATTAATAGCAAGATCCTAGGCATGATACTAAATGGATTAATAACAAACCATAGCATGTCACTAATAAAAATCATAATCAAAGCATTAGCCTAAACATGATACTAGAAACATGATATCAGAAATATTAGTTAACATCCTAAACATGATACTAGGAATCAAAATCAAAATCCTAACATGATACTAGGAATTAAAATAATATTCTAACCATGCTTTTTATATCAAAAGAATAATGAAGAAATCGAATTACTTACTTTGATGCCTCGTACCTCTTTCTATCAAAACAATACACACGTTAGTAACTCCAAGAATGATTAAATCAAATGAACCAAATAAATCAAACAAGAATTGAAATATAGATTTGGGACCAAACCCTCAAAACTATCAACCTTTCAAGTCGAGGTCGAAGGCAACTTCGAGGTTGGCTTGGAGTATTCAAGGCTCGTGAAGGAGGTATGGTGTTTGATTAGGAAAAAGTATCAAAGGATGTGTGTTAGGACGTGTTTAGGATAAGGTTAAGAAAAGAATCATGACAGAGAGGGAAATTATTAGAGAAAGGATTAGATGATGATTGTTGGTGATTCAAAACGGAGTGAAATTACCTCTATTTATAACGAAAAAGAGGGTCGAAACAATCAGAAAATTAAAGAGTCAGAATACGACTTGGAGTAAAACAGATTCCATCGCGGCGCGACAGTCTTGTCATGGCGCGATGGTGCTGTCGCTGAGCGATGGTTTTTGAAAGATTGAATCCGTACGGAATTCTATTCCCAATCAGATTGGGTTAACCGAATATCCGTACGTATCCTATTTTGGCCGGGATTAGGATCATTGAAAAACAGATGTTTTATTCAATATCAAATTCTTAAATCTTATCTTTCGGGGAAAGGATAAATTAGAACCTTTTAGAGGATTCTAGAAGCTCGTAATAAATCCTAATTGGTTTAGGATTGGGATTAAGGCATTGGACCCTCCTCATGATCATTGGGTCGTAGGTAAGATGGACCTAGGTCCGGTTTGGGCTTAGTTTAGTATTTTGGCCATAACTTATTCGTTATAAATCGGATTTGGGCTTATAATGTATCGTTGAAAAGCTCTTTTCAAGCCCCATTTAACTACACAATAAATGGACCAGGATTATGGACCAAAGTAGATTGGTTTGTACATTTTTATAAAGAGGACACGAAATGAGTGATTTTGGGTTTAAAGACACGAAATAAATGATTTAGGCAAAAAACATTTTAGGAAAGGTTAGAAATGGTCAAGGCTAAAGGGAGCATCACGAGACTCTTTAACTCTTCACCAAACTCGATAATCAAAGACGTGAAAGGTATTCATCACTGGGTTTGGTTTTTGGGGAGATACAATCAGGTGCCTACACTATGGCAAATAGAATAATTTCACTTTAGATAACCACTATGACAAATATGATAGATTTAATGATGTGTGGGTCTGTGTATCACTATGGCAAACAAAATAATTTCACTTTTGGTACATAAAACAATAACCAATCATATCATTAAGTTATTAAAAAGGTTCTACAAATTCAAAAGAAGGTAGTTAAGACTGCCTTACAATAATTGACATGAATTAGAGCAAAGTACACATAACCAATCAATTTCAAACAATGGTAAAACCAAAAATACAAAAAGATTGCCTACTATTTTACCGTTTGTTTACATACTCTTTACTGGTTATGTTTGGCAGTCTCACTGTCACCTTTTTTTATGTGTGTTTGTTGTCTTTAGTCTGCATCCACTTCCATGCCTTGATCCACTTCAAGTCCTTCCCCTGTTGGTATGAATGAAGTGTTGAGGTATTCAACAACTTGTTGAACTAATTCCTTGTCCACCTCCAGTTGTTCTGGAAACAAACCTAGCCTGTCTAGCCTTTTCTTCCCTTTGTGTGGTGGGGTAAAATTATTTCCACCTAGATGACTGAGAAATCCTATCATGCAACTTTGTAGTGTTATGTACTTGTTTAGTACTGGATTGAACAAGTCTTAAGCCTCTTTCACTTTCTCTATGAGTTCCTCCAAATTCTTAGGGAATGACTGGTATTGTATGGACTGAATCACATTGAACAAGCCAAGATCTAGCACATTCAAGTCAGGTGATTGTGCTGATTGGTAAATGAGTTGAATGTTAAACCCATTTGCTTGACATGCAGCTAGAATTCCTCATCCTTTGGAAATCTAACGAGGCCTAGCATTGTCCCATTGAATAAAAATGTCCTTAAACAGATGACGAGGACACTGACTTTGTATTGCTTGTATTACTTTGTTGAGTAGCATTGCCCTGATTGCCTCCTTGTTCACATTTTGAGTTGCCTTAATTTCCACAGCTCTTTTTTCTCTGTTTTTGGTTTTTTTTCAGAAATGTTTACAAAGGGAAAGATTCCATACTTTCCATCATGAATGAAGCACATTTCCATGGGTGTCAAAAATTGGTTTGCCAATCATTTCCATGAACATCCCTTTTATGTTGAATCGTTTTGAGTGTTGGCACCTATATGGGTTAGGTTCATTTGGCAGCAAATAGAACCTCCTTGTTTCTGGGTTCAAGTAGAACCACTTTTCATCAATATGTATTAATTGCTGCATATCCTAGAACTTTGGGTTTGCATTTTGTTCAGCAGGCAGAAGATGACTTAAAACCCATTCCAGTCTTGCTATCTTATGGTTAGATGTCAGGGCTGGGTGATTGGTACGGTGCTTGTATGTG